GAGCGTGCCGGCAGCCTGCAGCGCGAGCTGGACCTCGAGAGGAAGCTGAGGGAGACCGTAAGGGACCCTGCCATCACCCCACCACCCTAGGGACACTTTCTTCCCAGTTGCCGCGCACGTCCCAGGGCCCACCCGGAGCCCTCGGATCCTGCCCCTACGCCTCCGAGGCGCACCTGGCGCACCTGGGCCAGCTGGCGACCGGCCCCGCGGAGGGGCCCTTCCTTTCCATCCTGCTGCTTTGAGATGAAAGCCCCGAGGGGAAGCAGGAGTGTTATTGAGAAGGTTCTAGAAGTATTTTCAGGAAGGGGCTCCAAGGTGGTGTTCGATTAGGATCTCTCGAGTGTCGATGTGCAGTTCGTGCTCCGGGCCTGTTTACCGGGAGCTTGGGGCGGGAAGAGGCCGCCTTTGTGAAAATCTGTTCCTTTGGTAGGGGAAGCTGATGGTCAGGTGTGAGAGGTGCTGCTGGACTCAGGGGCCTGGGGATGCGAAATCCTTCCCCGGTTACCCTGTGGTTTCCCAGAGGCCTGTTTCTGTAAGGTCGAGAGAGTGACAGCGCCCGGTTCTGATGGAAGAGCTAACGTAAAAGGAGGCATCTCCTTCATCCTTCCCTTCCTTGACCATCCCTCTTCCCAGGGTCTCTCACACAGATCGATATTCCCAAGTCACCGAGTGGTGATAAGAGCCAGCTCACTGTCAGCAGTTACGGGTGTGTTCTCTCGTAGGCTTCCCCCTCGTCTTGTTGAACGTAGTACTTGGCTTCCCTTCCCAGGCAAATGTATCCAGCGAACAGGAACAGGATTTCAGAGGTAGTCTGAGTATCTGGTGTTCATTGATTTTGAGTGAGTGTATGTGTGTGTGTTAAATCCACATACTCAAACACCTTGGGAATTTTATGACAAGGATAATATGTTTAGCTGTGCTTACAGTACAGTGTCCTGGTTAAGGTTTGTAATGGCTGCAAAACTGGCTGCAGAAACTCCAAAATCTGGTCCTGTTTTGCACAAAACATAGAGAAGCAAATGGGTCCTCTGCAGAGGAAGGTCTAACTGAAGAGAATTTCAGATGATATACAGACTGGAATAAGGAAAGGAATAGGCACACAATAATTTTCTGTATTTCTTTTAGAGCAGGGGTCCCCAGTGTTCGAGCCTGGGAGCAGTACCAGTCCTTTTATTGAAGTGTAATAAGAATAATAACGAAGTACACAATAAATGTATACTCAGTCCCCCGTCTTCCTCCCTCCCTCACGCCCTGGTCTGTGGGAAAAATGTCTTCCACGAAACCAGCCCCTGGTGCCAAAAACCTTAGGGACCAGAGCTTTAGAGGACAAGTCAGCAAAGGTCCTGTGAATGTCTCTGAACATGGTTGGATGATAAACCCACTGGCTAGCAGCTGTCCTTGAGCCATAAGAGCCAATAGAACGTGATGGATAAGGACAATAACTCTGGACCCAGACTGTTGAGGTTCGAGTCCCTGCCCCACTCCTTACCTGTGTACCTCTGGAAGCCTCAGTGCCCAGAGAGTAACAGATGGATAATAACAGCACCTACCTTTTGGTTAAAGGAGTTAGTGTGTCCAGAGATTCCAGTGGTGCGTGACACAGCAGAGTAGGTGCTGAGTTTCAGACTGTTTCAGACCAGCCCCTTGCTCCTTCACCCTCAGTTCACCACCAAGCAAGAGGTCTTAAAAATGGCCTGCTCATTTCTCCACATCATAAAACACTCCATTTAATGCTTTCAGTCAGCAATTTGGGGGGGCAGGTAAGAGGGACTTGAGTGGAGAGAGGAAGTGGGCAGAATGGAAGGAACGTTTGATGGTTAAAGTAGCATTATTGATAAAAATCTGAAGAACTCCCCTCACCCTATTAAGAAGGGGAATGTGTGGGTCAGTAGGTGCCATGGAGGTTAAGGCACTAGATCCCACATGGCCAGCTTCACAGTTCAAGTCCCAGTCCTGGTGGCTTGAGAATCACACTGGGCATGTTGTGCGTGCGTGCATGCCCAAAATCTTAAAAGGAGAGTATAGGATAAGGGATTTTGGTGTGGCCATGCCCCCCCCGGGGGGGTGTACTTCCCACTTTCTGTATGTTTCTCTCTCTGGCAAGCATGCATGCCCTATAGCAAAAGCTGAAGAGGAAAAGAAGAAATAGGAATGTGCTAGTGCAGTGATTAATTTTAGACACAAAAGATACATTTTATGAAGAGCACATTATTTTATGCTCATCTTCCACTTTGTGTCCTTTTTTTTTTTTCTTTTTCTGGAGAGGTTTTTTTTCTTATTGGGCATGTGTGCTTACCAGAAAGAGAAATAGAAAGTGAGAAATCACCCCCCAGGAGGGATGGCCACGCCACAATCCCTTCTTCTCCATTCTCCTCTCGGGATCTTGGGCATGCACGCACACGCACCTGGCGTGAGTTTAAGCCACCGGGTCTGGGACTCGAACCACAGTCAACTACATGGGAGTCCAGTGACATAGCCATTACGCTAACTGCTGGTCCCCATTTTGTGCACTTTTTATAACACTACCCTTCCTGCACGAGTCAACTAGATTCAAAGCTTTCCTTTCTTTCAAGGCTTTATGTCAAACATGGTTTCAGTGGTCTCAAGTGTTTTGAAAGCAGTTTTTAAAAACAACCTACCTGGGTGATTGGACACAGAAACTAGCAAGATGGCAACTTGAGGACTAAAGTCAGACCATTCATGGAAGGGAGAATTTCAGTCTGAAAGTTGTTCCTATGTTCTGAAACCTTAACCTAAATGTAGCCAATTTAGGTAGTTGTAAGGCATAGCTTAGACTGTGAGTTAAGCTAACAGTAAGTTTCTCTTGGCCACAAAGATAAAGAAAGGTTTAGTGACCAAGCCGTGAACCACTGGAAAAAATACTTGACTGGAGAGTTGGCCTATACTCAGATATTTGAAGGTTCAGACAGGCTGTCGTTAATTGGCTCTGTTAAACCAGCTCTTTTACCTTGGAAAAAGCAGCTAACCCTACTTCTTCCTAGTGTGTTTTTCCAAGGCACGTGGGCCCTTCAAAATGTTGGAATGAGTCTACTTTGCTTATGTAATGGTTGACTCTAGGTCCGTGACCCCCTAGAGTTTTGTTTTGTGCTTTCTTTGTTCGTTCTGTTTTGTTTGTCATTATGTTTTTTTTTTTTAAAAAAAAGAGAAAGTAAGAAGGTGCAGTCCTCCTTTCTCCTTTCTGGTTCCTACCCAGCAAACAAGGAAACATACAGTTGCAGCCAGTAGGTTCTTAATGGGCATCGTGATTAAAGCATGGGAAAATATATACGTATATGTTTTTATGACTATTCCCAGCCTGTTCCCTCTTTATAGTTGGTAAATAGTTCTAAGACCAGGAAACTGCAAGTGGGTTTCGTGCTTGCCTTGGCAGTCCCAGAGCGGCTGTAACTGGAATGTATACCCTCGATTTCCGCTTTCAGACGTGGGCAAGGCAGAGGTACTACAATGCCTCGTTCATGTCCGTCCTCCCTCATCCTGCAAATATGCCTCATAAATTACAGGCTTTGGCACAGATAGGGGAGGTTGTGTTTATCTGTTATCCATGGGAGTGCCCCTTCGTGCCATGTGTGGTTTTTTTTCCCTTTTTCTTACCATATAAGGGCAGAAGCTTAGCCTGGCTGTAGTTACTTGGTCTTACACAGCAAGTTGGGTGAAACCTGCTCAGCATAACTACATTTGTGGGAAATAAAAAGGTCTGAACTTTGGTCATCCCATGCGCCACTCTGGTTCAGTCAGAACTTTGAAAACATATTCCAAAGGATTGGCTTTTAGGATAGGTGACTATTCTACCATGACTTCTTCTTTTTTGTCCTAAATGATTTAAAGAAATTATTTATTTATTTATTTATTTATTTATTTTAATTTGATGAGGGGAGGGTGGAGGAAGAAAGGGAAAGTGAGAAAGCAAGCCACCAGGTCTGGGCTCCAACCATAGTCCGCCATATGGGAGTATAGCACCTTAATCACCACACCACCTGCCAGCCTCACCATTATTTCTTCTTAATAGTCTTAACTGGAATACTTTTTTCTTTTTAAGTAAAAGTTATTGCTATTTCTAATGTTTTGTTGTCATATTGGCTAAAACAGCTAGATTTCAGAAAAATATGGGCCTTGCGAAAGGTTTTTTTTTTTTTAATAATTTTTGAAGAATTATTTAACTTTATTCATTTTCATTTGACTAGAGAGGGATAGAGTGAGAGAGAGAGAACGTGAGAAAGCAAGTTCCAGGTCTAGGACTTGAACTGCAGTCAGCCCTGTGGGAGTCCAGTATCCTTAACCAGCACACCATCTGCCTGCTCCCAAGTTCTGAGGGTGTTTTTGGGTGCTTTTGTTTTCCAGATCTGACTTGGAGGGTTTCGCTGTATTGGATCAGGCATGTCTCTGATTTCTGAGTGTGGTGCAGGCTCTTGATTTCTGAGTTGATCGCTGGAACCTGGGGGTTGGAGGAACACTTACAGCTCTCAGACACCTTACAGGAGCCGAGCGCTGGGTGGAGGTTTAACAACAGATCTGCAGAAGACAATTGGTAGCCTTTATTAATATGGCAATCTCTCCTCTGAGTAGCTCATTACATGTCGGCAAACAATAGCACTTTTGAAATCAAAGAAACTAGTATCCCGAAGTGAAAGACTTCCCTGGCAGTGTCGACACATGGGCCGTTGTTAGACGAGAACAAACTCAGCCCACTAAGGGTGACTTACATGCCTGGAAACCACTGCTGTCTGGGGCCTTGACCCTCCCAACACCTCATTATTTATCTCCTTTTAAGTGACAGATGGTCCTGTGGCTGAAGGCTTGTACAGCAACAGCAGAACCTTAGGAATGTCCAGGAGCTGTGATGAGAAGAACCTTCAAAAATACCTAAATAAGCCCCAGAACCTAGAGGAAAAAAAAAAAAAATAAAAGCTAGCAAAAGTGAGAGGTATAGGTGTTTTAGACACCGTGTATAATAAATCGGGAGGAAAAAGTAAAAAGCAAAAGTGCTCTTAATTATGAACATAAAAATATCTTGAATTCAGGACCAGCAGTTAGCATAATGGCTATGTCGCTGGACTCCCACGTAGTCGACCGCGGTTCGTGTTCCAGACCCGGTGGCTTAAAACTCACGCCAGACGCGTGTGCGTGCGTGCCCAAGATCCCGAGAGGAGAATGGAGGAGAAGGGATTGCGGCATAGCCATCCCCTCTGGGGGGTGATTTCTCGCTTTCTAGCTCTCTGTCTCTGTCTGTCTGGCGAGTGCACACGCCCTATAGCAAAAAACTCTCAAAAAAAAAAAAAAATCTTGAATTCTATGGAACCAAACGAGATTTCAATTAAACCAGCATAAAAGGGCCTGCAGAACTGGTTGGGGTCCAGGGTTTTCCCAGGGAAAGCTTACAGAAAGATGGACAGATCTCAGAGGCCACTCTGTCCCTACAGGGGGCTCCTCTGCCTATCTGCCCCTAAACCTCTGGGGCTTCTGGGCCAGAGAGCCAGTACTCAGTGTCCTCAGGTGAGCTGCCTACCTATTAGCGTTCTGTCATGATGCATTCACACTCACGCCCCACCTTATTTCAAAACGGATTGAATTTTCGTTATAGTAACTTTTCTCCTAGTCCTGAGAAGGGTTCGTGTTCCAGACCCGGTGGCTTAAAACTCACGCCAGACGCGTGTGCGTGCGTGCCCAAGATCCCGAGAGGAGAATGGAGGAGAAGGGATTGCGGCATAGCCATCCCCTCTGGGGGGTGATTTCTCGCTTTCTAGCTCTCTGTCTCTGTCTGTCTGGCGAGTGCACACGCCCTATAGCAAAAAACTCTCAAAAAAAAAAAAAAAATCTTGAATTCTATGGAACCAAACGAGATTTCAATTAAACCAGCATAAAAGGGCCTGCAGAACTGGTTGGGGTCCAGGGTTTTCCCAGGGAAAGCTTACAGAAAGATGGACAGATCTCAGAGGCCACTCTGTCCCTACAGGGGGCTCCTCTGCCTATCTGCCCCTAAACCTCTGGGGCTTCTGGGCCAGAGAGCCAGTACTCAGTGTCCTCAGGTGAGCTGCCTACCCATTAGCGTTCTGTCATGATGCATTCACACTCACGCCCCACCTTATTTCAAAACGGATTGAATTTTCGTTATAGTAACTTTTCTCCTAGTCCTGAGAAGGCCCTTAGTGGGGACTTGGAATGGCAGGCAGTGGTAGAGAACCTCCTTCTCTGAAGTCAAAAGGGACTTGAGAGGTGAGAACCGCTAATCGCAAGGCCTCCATGATGTTCCAGAAAACCAGGAGAAGGAATGGTGAGAGCCGGGGACCTTGGACTGCCGTCCTGCCTCCCGCCAGCAGCTGGAAGGTCTGGACGTACCTGAGGACTCTAGATCAAAGACCTTCCCTCCTTTTTAGCAAAAAGCTATGAGTGGCTCCCGTAGGATTTGCCAGCTTTCTTGGATGGTGGCAACAGGGTGGAGGGGGTTGCTTACTTAGAGGGTAGATTCCTGCCACCCCCCCACCCCCCCAGATCAGAATCTCTAGGAACAGAAGTTTGTATTTTGAGTGCATCTCCTACGAATTTGAGTACCCAGCAGCCATCCGTACCAACTACTGGCCTAGATGGTGCCGAGGGACCCCACCAACCAAATTATCTAGATCCCAGTTTGCAGATTTGCAGCAGCTCCTCGGGAAGGGCCAGCTGCCCGCCAGCCTACTTCGTGTTGCACCTGTCCTGTGTTTGTGTCACTGACTCTTAGAAACCGGTCATTGCTTAGGTGCCCTGTGGTGAAGCCCCATCAGCTGGTGTTTCTAGAGGCCATAACCTCTAATGCCAAGGAGTCTAAGTTTTTGCAAAAACGCCCCTGGGGGAAAGTGTGAATGACATTTATAAAAGAGCATTCTGCTGAACACAGTATCAAAGCCAAGGGAACAGTAAGAGGGAAGGCACCGATTGATGCCCAGGCCGGGATGAATGCTGGGCAGTATCTCCTTCCTGTCCGGCTCCCCTGCTGTGTGACGTTCATCCAGCTCTCACCTGAAAGGTTCTTTCCCCAGAGCATAAACAACCTTCTTTCTGTGAGTACAAAGTCCTCGAGGTTTGGGCCCAGATCTAATGCAGAGACCTTAGAACTTAGGGTTACAAAAATGTTTTGAAAATCTTATTGACATTTCTCTGATAGGCCACAGCACTTGTAATAGGGATATTTGCCTTCATATTGAAAATAGTAATAAGGAAAGTAAGAGGGAAAAAGAAAAGAACAACATTTTGGAATATGTGACCCAGACACCCCACAGAGGTTTTTTATTATCATGGAGGTTTTTGTTCGCTTGATTAGATTTCTGTTTCAGTTCTTTTTTCTTAGATGCTCTACTCACCCCTTTTCCCCAGATAAAACTTGATTTAAAATCTAGATGAGCAAAAAGCTAAGTATTCTCGTATTCCTCTGATCCAAGGCCATGAGCACAGCACTTCAACTCTGCATTTCATGGGCCCATGACCTGAGAGAGTTGCTGTGGTTTAACTATGTCAGTTTTGCTCATTTTATTCAGGAGACATTTATGGGGTGAGCCTTTGTGCAGAGAAGTATTAGGTCATCAGAAAAGTCATAACGTATTTTTTTTCTATGCAAAAATGCGACCCACCGTTTACTACAGCCCAGTATTTCCTGGATGTAAGCAGCTCACAGTTGAATAAAGAAAACAGGGCTGCCTTTTGAGAAATAGCATGAGTCCCTACATGTGTGTTACAATTTTTAGAAAGCTCCCAAATGTCCCGAAAACCCCATTGCTCCTTGATGAACATATATGTGATAGGAGGAAGAGGAGGAAATTGAACCTGATTAATAAGCTTTGTCTTCCACTTCCATGCACGGTATTTACATAACCACCAATGCAGGTGTGTGCAAGGAGCCATCTCAGTCTTGCAAGTGTTCTGAAACTCATAGTAACAAATGCTTATGACAGGAGGAAGCCATTGCATCCCTGAGGGGAAGAAAGTTTGTTTCAGAGATAAGATACTTGGGCTTGGCCTTGGACTTGGCCTTGCCCAGGACTTGTAATGCACTTACAGGTAGCCCACCACAAAGCCCAGGCGTCTTGTCAGAAATCGGCATTTCATAGATCCTGTCCTAGTTCATTATTGTGTGGCCAACAGAAATACGGGAGACTGGGTGAATTATAAAGAACTAGGGATTTATTAACTCACAGTTCCGGTGGCTTGAAAGTCCAAAGGCATAGGCCTGGCACCAAGCCAACCTACAGCATGGCTGACCGCCCAGAGGGTGGCAGGCTTGTGCGGAGAGAGTGAGCAAGCGCGGGCGGCTCTCTTATTTGTAACAACCAGCTCTCAGGAGAAGAAGCCCCTTGTGTGAGAGCTAGAACTCTCCGTGTTGCATAGCACATCATTAATCTGGTCGGGAGCATGATGTCTCTGATACGATCATCTTGAGCTAATCACCTCTCACTAGGCCTCACTACCTTCTAGCATCAAATTCCAAAACAGAAACTTTCACAGACAAACCACTCTCTAAACCATAGCAGATACCAAGTGACAATGGTGTATGCATTGCTTCTCTCCTTAGGAATTTGATACTTCGTTGTAGCAATCTTGACTTGTAAGACATTCCAGTAGGCTTATGTCAAAAAACACTTGGGATATTTGTCTTGGCCCTGTTCCAGTTAACCAGCTATTCTAAAGGGGTAACTGAAAAGGGGGGCAAGGGTGGAACTACTAAATTGTGTTGTGTCTCCATATGCTGTGTATTTTAGAACCACTAAATCTGAGCACATTTCTTTGTAAGGCTCCTTTGAGAAAGTAGCTAGGAGAAAGGAGAATTGAGCACAACTCCCGAGTTCGATTTCTGACTGTGCTGCTATTATGAGACTGAGCTTGGGTAAGTCTTGCTGTCTCTGTGCACATCAAGGCCCCCAGTGAACGAGGTGGCATGATAAAGCTCTCCTTGACACACAAGTAAAACCAGAGCATTGAAACCACAGAAGAGTATTTGCTAATGACCCAGCTGTCTGATGAGAACTGTGTGTACAGCTTAGTCTGTGTACAGACGTGGACATTCTGATGAGAACTGTGTGTGTAGCTTAGTCTGTGTACAGACATGGACATTCCCTGTAAGTCAGTGTATGAACACTGAGAGTTCCAGAGCTGGCTGGGGCTGGTCAGACACTTAGGGGTAGCTCACCACAAAGCCTGGCTCCATGTCTGAAGTCAGCGTGCAGTCTCGGTCACTTCCCGAAGGCGCCACCCTCATTTTCTCTCCTACTCTGAAATGCCTGCCTTTCGCTCTCTACCTAGGCTGAAGCTGATGTAGCTTCCCTGAACAGACGCATCCAGCTGGTTGAGGAAGAGCTGGATCGTGCCCAGGAGCGTCTGGCAACAGCTTTGCAGAAGCTGGAGGAGGCTGAGAAGGCAGCAGATGAGAGTGAGAGGTGAGAACGCCTTGTCTAGGCACCTTGCAGCACGAGCGAGCGCATCCTCCTGGTGGAGTGGATGGGAGGGCTTCTCTGCTCTCTGAGGCTCAAGAATGGAATAGTCCCTTGGTGGGAGCATTTTCTCTGTTGATTACAGTGTAACTTGGTTGGTTTTAGTTGGTTTTGTTCCATTAACTTAAGTGGGACACCTGCTGGGTCCCAAGCATCGTTCTAAGCCCCAAGGTTACAAAGAAGAAAAAGACCTTGTTCCTGCCCTCACAGAGCTCTCCTTCCAGTGAGGGAGACAGACCTGAAGATGAAGAAGTTCAGGGATACATTGGTTCCTTCATTCCTGCAGACCATAGAGCGATCGTGCATATCATTTAAAAATATAACTTCATGAGACCAGCAGTTAGCGTAATGGCTATGTCGCTGAACTCTTTTGTAGTCGACCGCGGGTCGAGTCCTGGACCCGGTGGCTTAAACTCACGCTGGGCACGTGTGCATGCGTGTCCAAGATCCTGAGAGGAGAATGGAGGAGAAGGGATTGTGGCGTGACCATCCCCCCTGGGGGTGATTTCTTGCCCTCTGTCTCTCTGTTTCTACCTTTCTGGAGAGCGCACATGCCCTATAGCAAAAACCTCTCCAAAAAAAAAAAGTTTATATTTATTTATTTATATACACACACGCACACACACACACACACACACATATATATATAACTTGACACTAACATATGTAAGAAGAAGTGGTAGGTATGTTTATCAGTCTGATTTGATCATTTCACAGTGTATGCCCCATCAGTCAGCTAACGTTTCCTGAAATGTCACATGAGGCCATAGGACCCTGATGTACACATCAGCGTGGAAGGCAGTGTCAGTCCTGTGGTCCAACACCCTGCTATGAAAGGGCTCCATTATGGTACAGTGTAGAGTTTCTTACCTAAAGTGTTCAGTTGAACCATGTAAAGTTTCCATTTTTATAGATCTGAAATGATCAGATAACTTCATGTGGGTCAGTCTCACATTTTCATTTGTAGTTGATGGGATAAGAACCTTCTTTGAAAAAAAAAAAAGAGGCACATGAAGATAAATTTGCTTTTGTCCTAGCTTTGGTCCATTTTTAAGCTGAGGCTTCCCCCAGAAAAGGGAAGAAATCTTAGTATGAATTTTACAGGGAAAGCATTCTGGAATTTTCCTGTTTCCACATCCCTTAGATTCAGACAGGACCCTGCCAGGGGACCTTTCACTTAACGTTAAATGCCTGGACAGCTCCACTCGTACCCAGAGTGTGAGATTTCATATGCAGTGAGCATAGAGAAATGTGTGTTCTTTGTCTGCCTTCCGCTCTGGAAAGTCTTGTTTCATGGTTTGGAAAATAAAAGTAGCTCTGGGCTCTGTTTTGTTCTGACATTTCCACTAAGCTTTGCAGACCACAGCAGTGCAGCATGAGTTTAAAGAAGTCAACTCTAAATCTTGGATTTTCTTGCTTGTTTTTCTTTTCAGAGGAATGAAAGTCATTGAGAGTCGAGCCCAAAAGGATGAAGAAAAAATGGAAATTCAGGAGATCCAGCTGAAAGAGGCCAAACACATTGCAGAAGATGCCGACCGCAAGTATGAAGAGGTCAGATCCTGGGGCACAAAGCCGCATGGACTCCCAGCTGTGGCCTGGCAGGGCCATCAGGCAGGATACAGCCTTGGTCCTGAGTGAGGTCATCGCCTTCTTGCAGACATAGGTGGTTTCGAGAAACAAAGTCTCTTCACCTCCAGAAATCGGTTCTTGTCTTAATGCTGCTTGGGGACCCCAGGCCTTCTCATGAAGCCATTCAATGGCACTAGGAAGGAGAACCGAAATTCCTCCCAACCACCCCCTACCCCAGAAGACCAGGACGGTCTTTGACCAGAAGGGCGAGTTGGGCCTCTTGTTCTTATGAAAAGTGGCTCTCATGCCATTAACGCTCAGACAGCCCTTCCCAGTGTGGTCCTCCGGCACATCTGGTCCAGGCAGCCTAGAGGCCCATGTTCCATGCAGTTGTTTGGTAGACTTTTGAAGGCTTGTGTCCTCCAGGTAGTAGAAAGCCATGATCATCCCAGGTTCACAGGTGAACCAGCTCCTGATCGTCTCCCCAGGTGGTAACAGCCTTCGCAGTGACTGAGGTTTTAGTTTTCCCCTTCTTGCATCACGTCATGGCTGTGCTGAAACAGCATGTACCTCCTTTTCATCATGATTGTCTGCAGGTTACACGATGCCCACGCATTTTGAACTGCTTCAGAGGATCCTTAGTTTTCTTGGTTTTTTTCCTTCCCTGAATAGAGTTGACTTCTCAGCCATCTCATCTTCTTATCTGATATTAACTTTTTACACTCAGTTTCTCCCATAGAAAGGAGGTTTACAGAGAGAGCTCTAAGTTGATGGAGTTTGTAGGTTTATTTTCAGTGTTTTGTTGGCAGTCTCCACCTTTTCTGTATAAAATGTATCATGCGTCATCATGCTCCTAATTTCGAGGTAGTGAATTTCTCATTTCTTCTTCCTCCTCTGCTTTGGTCTGGTTACTGTATAATTACACAGACTTCACCTGGGCCAGACCTTAAATCGAGACTGCCCAATTATAACTGGCCATTTGGGGTCTTTGTGAGCAGAAGCCTGTGGTCTCCTATCCGTTAGCATTCCTTAGGGAGAGTTGCTTCTGTCCAGTGCTGGAAAGAGGATTATCTTGTTTATAGACGGGAACCCTTGGGAGCTGATAGATCTGACCCTTCCACCCCTCATGACCCAGACCCAGAGCGAAGCCCTATGGCGTACATGTGCTGTGTTCTGCTGCAGGTGGCCCGTAAGCTGGTCATCATTGAGAGCGACCTGGAACGAGCAGAAGAGCGGGCTGAGCTCTCAGAAGGGTAAGCGAGCCGGCGCCAGGAGGCCGCGTGTGGGGTGCTGCAGACCAGTGACTAAACAGCATGGCCTTCTGGCAGCTGCACATTGACCTGTTTCAGCTCCAGGCTCCTCTTGTGCTCATTTGATGTGGATAAGCCCACGAGTACGGAACACGGAGGACTCGTGTGGGATGTCTGTGTATGAATGCGTGTGTCACTGCATGCCTTACCTGCACACTGATTTTGTGAATGGCCTTGTGCATTTCCTGTGTCCACTAACAGCCAAGTTCGACAGCTGGAAGAACAATTAAGAATAATGGATCAGACCTTGAAAGCATTAATGGCTGCAGAGGATAAGGTACTGATGGCTAATGTGTGGTCTATAGGTTTAGTGCAACCCAGACATCTTTCAGCTTCCAATGCCTCCTGGTTCGTTTGGTTTAACGACTGCACCTTCACTACACCCTCTGCTGTTTTTATCTTGCTTTAAGTGCTTTCTCTTGGTCCTTTATGCTCCTTTGTTTTTCCTTTCATAAATGCTCTTGGGGCAGCCAAGAAAGAAGCCAAATTATCATTCTTCAGAGTTGTTAGATTCTGTCATCCGCCTTTCCATTGGGGCCAGTGTCCATGGCAAAATTGAGCATTTTATCACTTGATGGTTTGGCTCCTTGAAGGCAGCCCTTCATCTCTAGGACTCGGTTTTCATTTTTTCCTCTTCCCTCTCCTTTTTCTCTCTTCCTTCCTTTGGCTTGTCTCCCACCCTTTCTGGCTCTGATCGAAAACATTAGCAAATGTGCCGAGCTTGAAGAAGAATTGAAAACTGTGACGAACAACTTGAAGTCACTGGAGGCTCAGGCTGAGAAGGTAGGCCAGGAGCATGGTGTGGGGGAAAGGCACCTTTTAAGAACTGCTCAAAAGAGGCCTACTTTTCTCTTCCAAGGCCCCACTGGTAAATGCAGTAGTACAGTAGGCATTTGAGTAAATGTCAGCATCTTTAAGTGATCTCCTGATGGTTATTTTATAATAGCTTCTTTACTTTTTACTCGAGAGTGTATTTCGTGTTGTCAGTATGGGAGTCACCAGCCTAATTTAACCAAGTGCCAAATGAACAAGTTATCTTGTCCTTATCCCGTGTAAAACAATAGGCAAGAAGCAGAGGCTGCATTGTAATATGCCATTTGATAGCCAAGGCTCCATTACCTCCTACGAGATCCTTAACATCTGTTGGCTGGGCTGGCTTGTCCTTTGTCGTAGAAGGCATGAGTGGAGCGAGCCGCAGCCTGACATCTGGAATGATCTTTCTAATTGCAGTACTCACAGAAGGAAGATAAATACGAGGAAGAGATCAAGGTCCTTTCTGACAAGCTGAAGGAGGTAATATTAGGAGTGTTTTGAATGGATTGTAAATGACTGTTTTTACAGAGCTGATTGGGGCTTTTTAAAAGACCAGCAGGTGGCATGGTGATTAAACTTCTGGACTCTCCCTCTGTTGACTGAGGTTTGAGACCCAGACCCAGGGGCTTGAAAATCATGCCAAGTGCACGTGCGTGCCCAAAATCCCAAGAGGAGAATGGAGGAGAAGGGATTGTGGCATAGCCATCCCCTCCTCGGAGGATAATTTCCTACTTCCCCTCTCTTTGTCTCTCTAGCAAACCAAGCACCTTATGACGAAAACAAAACTTAAAAAAAAAAAAAAAAAAGAAAGAAAGTTACAGGTACTCAAGTCAGAAATATTCCGAGTTGTTGGATTTTTGTCACCCTGCATTTTCATTGGGGGCAGTGTCCTTGCAAGCAGCCCTTCCTCTCTAGGGCTCGGTTTTCATTTTTTCACACCCCCAACCCCCCACCCCCATTTTCTCTCCTTCCTTTGACTTGTCTCCCACTCTTGCTGCCTTACATTGAAAATAAAGGTAGTCTTGGGGTTAATGTGCTGTGCTAGCTGCCGTCTCTCACGGTAGCAGTGTCTGAAACTACTTGTTCGTTTCAGACCTGTTTTACAGGGGGTATGCTTGATTTTCATTCCTCTCGTCTTGCCTTTTTTATTTTAATTTGTCAGCGGGCACATGCACTTGCCAGAGAAGGAGGGGGAAGCAAGAAAGCTCTGCCTCCCGCTCCCCTAGCCATGGGGAATGGTCACACCGCAATCCCTTCTGCCCTATCTTGGCCTTCCTTTTGGGATTTTGGGCATGCCTACACATACACCCAGCGTGTTCTCAGGCTACCGGGTTTGGGGCTCGATCCACCCAGTTAGCCATGTGGGATCCTGTTTCCTTAACCACCAGGCCCTGAGCTGGCTCTAGTTTTTCCTGTATTTTAATACTAGAAACATAAAACTTCCCAACATTGATTGAAATACATTAAATTATTACAGGCTGAGACTCGAGCTGAGTTTGCGGAGAGGTCAGTAACTAAATTGGAGAAAAGCATCGATGACTTAGAAGGTAAGACCGTCAGTGCCGTTTTCACTGAATCCTTGTGGTTGACTATGACCTGGCGAGACGATTTTCCAGTCCAAGCATCCACCTCGATCGATCTCTTTGCTCTTGCACATTCCTCCTCTCTGTCCTCTGGGGTTTTCATCTGTGGCTCTTGAACTTTTGGACCCGAGTCCTCTGCTCACTAGGCGGGCACATCTCTTTTTGTAATGACAAATGCCGTCCGGCTTTACTTCATGCTCAGTGGAAGTGTGGCAGTCTTATTATTCAGTGTGGATGAGGTGGTTACAGGTTATCAGTGACCCTCTATTTTGTATTTTTAGTATTCCTCCCAGTTGTGAGAATGATATAGGCTTGGTTTTAGGCACAACCCACCTTCTTTCAAGTCTGAACTCAACGTAAGGATTTAGGTTTTTGAAAGTCATTTATTACCTTAGCAAAATATTTTATATTTTGAAAGTGGCAGGGGCTGGGTGGGAATCAACAAGGCACTGTATTTAAGTATCCCTCCCTTAGTTCACAAAAAGTCAAAATGTTGAGCTCTGAGGCTAGCAAACAGCTATATGTGAAAAAGAAAAAACAAAATGAAAATACGTACGTTACAGATGGGATCTGTTAGAGACGGGATTGGAGGTTGGTGCAGATCCTAACCGAGATAGTGGGGAAGGCAGAGTGACAAGGGGTGCAGAACAGTCTGTTAGACTGTATACCCTTCGGCATTACAGAACTAAACTGCAGTCTCGCTATGACACTGCCATGAAAAGTGTGGCTCTCTTCACTTTCCCAGGCTCCTGGACCAGTAACAAGGAGCTCGAGTGGAAGGACGGGCAGTTAAGTGAGCTGCGAAATCAGTAGCCCAGTGGTCTAGTTTGGTCAGGAAGTCAGTGTTTTGAGGTGGAGTCAGATAAGGATTATAGGCTTTCGTTACAAATTGTTCTTCCAAAACACTGCCCTCGGATATTTTTTTCCCCATTGTTTATAGCTGCAGGTGGCTAAATACTCTGGTGTAATTAAAATACGGCTCTGCAAAAAAGATGTTTTATCACTCACCCTTGTGGTTTTGTTTAGGATTTAGCATGGTTTACTGATATACCAACCCTGTTTGTTATGATTTTCATATTGAGTCTTTTCTCATTTTATTTTCTAATGGGTTTTGTTCTCTTTGTTTTTGTTTCGATGTATTTAAAAACAAATCGCACGCCTCCTGCATTGGCCACCTGCCGCGGCACCAATTCCTTCATGCATTGCCCTTTCCTTGCTGCTGTGTTGGGATGGCCCCCGCGCCACCCTCGCTCACCCTCCATCTCTTGATCACCCTCCATGCCCTTGCACCTCTGCCTTCCACTTCCTGGTCATAGACGAGCTGTATGCTCAGAAACTGAAGTACAAAGCCATCAGCGAGGAGCTGGACCACGCTCTCAACGATATGACTTCCATGTAAATGTGCATCCACCCTGCCTGCTCACACCGTGCCCTCGCGCTCCTGTGATCAGCTCACCACCGCTCCCTCCTGCGCGCCTCCACCTCCATCTTTGCACCCTCCTGTTCGCTCTCTCGTGCTAACCCGGATTGTCCTTGTTTTCTCACATCCTACTAATACAGAAGCCAAGTAGATTAAGTCCGCCTGTACAAGCCATTTCCTTTCAGAATCCTTTTATTTCGTAAACATTGAACTCGATTGTTTCCACTGAGCAATGAACTGGAATATGAATGACCTTGCACACTGTCCTTTTAAGAAATTAGGCGCAGGTAAAACTATAAGGCCATGCAGTTGTGCAGGAACTTCTCAAGATATATCAAAAATTGGTTTCCCGAGATTCAGTTAAGTCTAGTATGATCATTTTCATACGAGAACTCGAAGGAAACCCTAAAGTGTCAGATTATCACGGATCGGA